TAAAATATGTTAAGTGACAGATCTCACATTCAGTGTTCTTACTACAAAAAAAAAGAAAGAAAAAAGCCACAAAAGAACACAAGGAAATTTCTGGAGGTGATGGATCTGTTTAGTACCTTGATTGTGGTGATGGTATCATAGGTATACGCATATGTCCAAACTCATCAAATTGTGTACACTAAATATATGCAGTTTTTTGCATATCAATTATACCTCAATAAAGCTTTAAAAAAAAAAGCTGGGAGATGAAAAAAAGATACACAATGGATTCTCATTATTCACAGGCATTATGTTCTACAAAGTCACCACAAACACTGACTTAGCAAATGCTGAGCCACGGCTCCTAAGGCGAACAGGCTCAGGTTCCTGCTAGCCTCTGGTCACGTCTTTGTCAACAACATCTGGTCATAACCTTGTTTACTCTGTGTTTCTATTTAAAGACACCTCATTTAATACATATCGTTGATTCATGAACACTGAACTCCCAGCCACCAGCACTAGCACTCAAGCCTGAATGAAGATCCTCTAACACACACACGTTTTCTCTGCGAGCCTTGCACTTCAGAATGCTAGGCAGCACTTTGGCACTACACTTGGAGTCATTTTAAATAGCAACCAAAAGCACAAAAATACAGAAAACATGGCACAAAATATACTGCAAGGAGAACATTTGTTGATAGTCATGAGGGCTGAAACTAGAAGGCAGAGCGTCATCTTCTTTGACTTCAGCTGGAATGTGTGCATTGAGTGACTCAAATTTTTCACCACTCTGTGCATGTCCACAAATGATTCTGAAAGCTCATCAGTATTGATTTTGGGGTTACAAATAAATTTTGCTCGTAGGCAAATTCACAAATACCGAATCTGTGAATAATGAGGATTGACTGTACTTTTGTTAGCAGTATTTGATCACCTGGATCCTCCTGTGCCTAAAGCCAGTAAACTGCTTTCAGTTACATAAGCAATGAATTTCCTTTCTCATTCAAGCCAGGTGAAGTTGATTTTCTGTCACATGAGCCCAGGCTGGTTCCACAGCTGCTCTTTTAGCATAGTGGTCTCTGGGAAAAAGGTACCTGTTCCCTCTAATTAGCCCTTAGAACCCTCTAGAATCCCCAGAGTCCTCAACATCCTGATCACCCCTTCAAAGGGAAAGTTTAGTCCTCCCCAGGCATTGTCTGTGGAGACATTTTCCAGGTTTATATGCAGAATTACTCAGCTTGAGATGACAGATCCCTCTCATCCTCCTGCCAAAATAAGTCCTCGAAAGGAGTGGGGTTCTTCCTGTGAGCCACAGTAAAAACACTTCAGCAGTGTCCTCCTCAACCCACTGCCAATTCGAGTCCTGGAGAATGGACATGGGTCTGCATGGCTTTTGAGTTTCCAGGGCCAATGCTGTCTCCCTGCCCACAGGCTGTGCCAATCGACAGCAGAGGGTTCACGGGAACGGGGCTCAGCAGGGGCTTGGGCGAATGGCCCCATGCCAGAGGACTTGGTTCCAGCTTTTAATTCCTCTCCTCTGACCTCCTACCATTTCTTAAATCAGTGGATTAAATTCCATGTTCCGGCCTTGGGCAAGAGAGTAGACTCGGAGCTAGAAGGCTCCTGAGAAATTTCCCGGGCTGAGATGAGGGGAATGAGGGTCAGAGAAGAAAGGGACTTGCCAAGATAGCAAAGTGAAAACCAGAACAGGGGCTCCCAACCCCCTTTCCAGCACTTTCTCTACTAGCAATGTTGCTGTTGCTAGGTGAAGGCTCCACCCATTCTCTGTCCACGTCAATAAATCCCAGTTTTTAATTCACGGACAAATCAAATCATTGCATTGGCCCACACCATTCCGTGATGCATGGTGCCCACTCTAAGGAGACATTATATATCTTCTGACCCCTCTTTGTCACCACCTCTCCAGCTAGGGAAACATTTAATTCCACAAAGAAGGACTCCAGCCTCACCACCACCCCAGTTACTGCAACTCCATGCAAACATTGCTTTCCGGGATCCTTGAGGCAGCACGGGAGTCTGCAGGCCCCACCGTCATTACGTGTCTTGCTCCTCTCCCTCCAGGCACACTCAACACCCGACCTGTTCAGTGCAGGCCACCATGCAATGCCCGTGGATGAGACATGGACTCGCTACTGACCGAGAGGCTCAAAGAAGGGATGCTCCCCCGGGCCAGGTGGGCCAGGCTGCCCTCGTTAGACCACCCCCTTCACGCAGGCCTTGCCTGGCTCTCTGCCCCACATCCTCCCACCCCGACTCCACACCAGGTGGGCCACGTCACTTCCTTCCAGGCCTGAAACCAAACATGCCCAGGGACAAGAAGAGACCCTAGTCCAATAATTGAAGGCATCAAATCATCCCTGAGGGTATTTATTACAAGTTTCTATCACTTCTACACTTTGGTTACATACGAAGCCCAGCTCCTGCCCTGTCCCGTGGCCAGCGAAGCCCTGAGGCCCATTCCAGTGGAAGACCTGCTGCAGTGACCTCCTCCAAGCTCTCTCACTGGATCAAGAGGCTTTTATGTTGTATGTCCCGGGAGATTCATGGCACGCTCTCTCTGGCCCTAAGACGGACTCGGCCCTCTCTACCACCCTGAGGATAGGGACCCACTTCTCCATCCCCACCTTGTTCCTCACAAGAGGAGCCGGCTGGAGAGCTCTGAGGCCTGGCTGTTCACCGTTCACCGGGCGTTCTCCAGCACCCTGAAGGACTCCCTCCACCACGCTAGCTCTGGCTGCCGGGCTCCTACCCTCCAGTGTCCACTCCACGGACATTTCTGTCCAAATGTGGTTCACACTGCCCCTTTAGATGCTACAGACACATGAAGACTTCCCACTGACAGAAGTGTCCATCCAACTCTGCTGAGCCAGTTAGCTGAACCCTTGGCCTGACCTGCCCTTGACCATCACTTCCCCTGCCATCTGCCTCAGCTGGGTCTCCTGACCGGGTTTCAAAAAGCCACATCCTGTGGTCAAACACAGAAGTCTGGAGAAAGGCAGCTCTTTCCAGAGGTGATTTCAGCCATCAAAGCAACACTTCCTGGATGATTTATCTTCCCCTTCACATCCCTCCCATATGTGTAACTTTGTACGGTATGTTCCTTAGGATTTCTATACAGAGTTCTCTAATTCAGCCCCGGACGCTGGACCGCAGAGCACCTCTTTCTCTGAGTGTGTTTTAGCCTTGTTGTTCTACAAGCCAGGTCATGAGTCATCATCACAGGAGACACAGAGACGAGCACAACACAGACTCTGTCCTCCCACCTTCCTTCTCTATCCTTTTCCTCCCTTTCACACATCACTGATGACCAACACCGAAAAAATACTGTTATCGTACAGAACCAGCTGTACTTCTGTCACTTTTGACAACATCTGATTCAGCATTATCATAACTGTTATGGGCTGGATTCTGTCCAACCAGAATTCATATGCTGAAGCCTTAGTCCCCAGGACCTCAAAATGTGACTGTTTGGGGACGGGACCTTTAAGGAGGTGACTAAGGTTAAATAAAGTCATAAGAGTTGAGCCCTAATCCCATAGGACTGGTGTCCGTGTAAAAAGAGGGAGACATCAGGGATGTATGTGTGCAGAGGAAAGACCACGTGAGGACACAGCGAGAAGGCAGCTGTCCGCAAGCCAAGGAGAGAGGCCTCAGGAGAAACCAACGCTGCCGACACCTGATATGGGACGTCCAGCCTCCAGACTGTGAGAAATAAGTTTCTGTTGCTTTCGCCCCCCAGTCTGTGGTGTTTGTTACGGCAGCCTCAGCACTCTAACACAATGAAGAAAGCTCAGACTCATTATTCACCAGGCTTCTGTGGAATGCCTACTATGTGCAGAGCACAGAGTAAGGCCTGTAGGCAGACGCAGAGTAAAGGAGAATCCAGCCACTCTCAGTCTGGCAGGGAGGACACAGCACAAATATATCCATCGTACAGTGGAATGCAAATATTACGATATAGTCAGTTCTGCTATAACATTTGTTTTGAAGATGCAAATTTGTTCCAATGTGATCGATATACTGGGGAACAATTCTAGGATAATGTGAATTTTGTGTTTGCTTATGCATGATTTCATCTGCGGGAAACAGCAGATGAACACGGAAAACTGTACCCAGCTGAACTGAGACACATAGGAATACGCAAAATGTACACCAGGCATCGACCAGCTCCTTCAGTTTACCGTGTGTGTTACGAGCCACGCCATCTATATCTGGTGTCACAACTTTCTTTTCATTTCTGTCTAACTTCAGATGACTGTCCTTGTACCACTGACTACAACACACTGGGGGCAACCCTTCTGAGGCTCATTTCCACAAGGAAACTTCAAGTCCATTTCAAGGCCAAGTGTCATACTTACGGTAATATTTACGAATTTCTTAACCATTTAATTTGTAAAGCTGTGCTACCATTTTTATGAAGTTCTTATTTTTTATTTTATCTGTCACTGACAAATATTTGAGTGTTGTGCTCCTAACTCAGTTTTTCCCCATAAACCCTGTGGTTTTTATTTTATGATTTTGTATACTGCAGTGACTTTTAGGAAAACGTATGTTGTGTTATAGCAGAACTGACTGTATTTAAATGTTTGAATAAGGAACTTCATTTCAGGTAACCGGGGCCTAGATAATAAATGCCTATGATCAGGACCACAAATAATCCCACACTCTCGGCATAACCCAATAAATGCCTATGATCAGGACCACAAATAATCCCACACTCTCGGCATAAACCTCATTACAGAACATATGGTTCTGGCTAATGTATCAACAATGCCTCCCAGTGGCAATGTCTCCTAATTGCAAGTAAAATATACAAAAAAGTAATGCATTAAAAACGAATTTTTAAAATGCTATAGGGTAAATGAAGCCATTACAGAAGCCAAGACAAATATATCCCCTTACCTTTAGGCAGCTTTTTCTGACCTCTAGCTTCTTGATCTGTTTACTGAAAGAAATTTTCCTCTGGGGTCAAACAGCCTCCTAGAGGGAGCCACACTGACCTGTCATGGAGTTTTCAGAGGTGCATAGCTGCTCTCTCAGCTTCTCCACGTCGTCGGGGTGCACCTGTTCATAGAGGGTGCTCCCAAACCACTCTGACTGCGGCTGGTTAAGAACGGGGGTGACAGAGTCAGACACATAAATCACTCTCCCTGTCTCGGCCGCCACTACAAACAGAAACCCATCAGCTGCTTCAAGGATGAGGTGCTTTAGTTCCTGGGAAGAAAAGATCGTGATTAGGACAGGACAAACACAGGCCAGTTAAATCTTCTCATTAGCAAACTTCAACTTTTATTCCGATACGCACTGTGATACACAAATAGTTTTGGAAACTTTGATTGCTTTTTTTTTTATTGGAAGATGAGCTAAAAAATGCACAAAGCTTGTACTAGCCCTAAGATACAGCTACTGTAAACATGAGTCCTGTCCTGACTAGCCCTTTCTTAGGGGAGGGAAATTTCCAGCACAGGGGAACAGGAAGCAAGGAGTGACCAGTAGAAGGCATTGGGCTGCCAGAGATGTGAATGGCCACACCTACACATTCAAACTGCTGCCATGCCATTGGAGCAGAAGGGCCTGGTAGAAAAGGTGCTCACGGAAGCAAGGGAAGGAGAATGGGAAAGTGAGAAGAGAGAAGGAAAGGGACCCTGAGTCTCCCCGCCCACCACCTGCCACACTGCCAGCACGCTCTTGTTCCTCTTCTCTTCCTGTACTTTCTGAGCTGAATGCTGGCAGAGGATATAAGAGTATCACCTTACGTCTACTTGTCTGTCAAACGTCCAGAACTCTTTGACAGACAACATCTCAACAGACTCTCTGAATAATCCCAGGGGCGGCAGGGCAATTAGCATTGACCATGTCACTTTACAGTGGGAAGAGAGGTTAGTTGCACCAGCCCTGGAGTCACATTGACTCACCAGGCTCACGACTGTCCGTGAAGACAGGAAGGAAGCTGCTTGGAATCAATGAATGGGCAGCAGGAAGCCTTGCCATCATCCAGAGAGGGATGTGGATGAGGCACAATCAACTTTGTTAAAATGAGACATCTTTTCTTTGCAGGGGCCTGAAGGCAGCTCAGGCTTTGTGCTGGGAATCCTTTGTTCAAATGTAATCTTATGTGGAAGCCCCACTGTAATACAGACAAAGGGCCAGCTGCATGGAGGCAAAAAGTGGGAGGTCTGGAGCATCTGGCCCAGCTCTAAGTGCTGGTCCTGAGGGGGCTCCAAAGACCCAGAGATTAGAAAATGTGGATCTGCTGGTGAGCAGAACCTGGGAGTTTGTAAGGTCTCTGGGTCCTTGTCTGGGTCAGAATTCTAACATCCTCTGCCTGGGAACCTAGGGAAGCGAACCATACAAGCATTTTTTTTTTTTTTTTGTCAGGAAGATAAGCCCTGAGCTAACATCCATGCCAATCCTCCTCTTTTTGCTGAGGAAGACCGGCCCTGAGCCAACATCTATTGCCAATCCTCCTCCTTTTTTCCCCCTTTTTCTCCCCAAAGACCTGGTAGATAGTTGTATGCCATAGCTGCATATCCTGCTAGTTGCTGTATGTGGGTGGCCACCTCAGCATGGCCGGACAAGCAGTATGTCTGTGCGCACCCGGGATCCAAACCCAGGCCACCAGTAGTGGAGCGCGCGCACTTAACCACTAAGGCACGGAGCCGGCCCCCCGTACAAGCATTTTTTAAGGAAAAGTTTATTCTGTCCATTTCTCTTGCTTTGCATTTCTGTGTCTCCTAGATGCTTACTCAGTTCAGAGGGTCAGGTCAGCAGTTTTATTTTCAGTATTGGGAAGATCTTCCCAGCAGGGAGGACTGTGAAACATGGAACAGGATGTCTGGGAAAGCAGAGAATTCTCTGTCAGCGGAGGAGAGGAAGTGGAGGCTGAGTGACTTCACCCATGTTTTCACAGTTTCCACTTCACAAGGACTGTGGGAAGTTCTGATGGGACAGCCTCACCCTGATCATGGACCTCTCTTTCTACCACCCTCCTCCCCAATTTTTGTCTTCTGTGAGCACCTCACTCATTACTAAGGTCCTGTGCCTGAAACCAGAACCAGCCTTGCCTCCACTCTCCAGTTAAACCAACAGAAAGGCTTAAGAGCATGGGTTCCAGAGTAAAAGGAGACCATCATCCATGGCTTTTCCACTTCACTGTGCAACTTTGGGCACGTTACAAACATCCTCAGCTTCCGTTGTTTCACATGGTTTTTTTCAGTGAGATTTTGTGAGGTTAAACGAGATCTTGTGTGTGAAGGACTTAGTGAGGGCCTGCACACAGTAGGTGCTCAACCAGTGCAGCATGGTCTTCAACAATGTAGAACTGAGGGAGAAATACGGGGAGGACTCATACTTGCATAACTGCCTTATCTCTTCACTCCACTTTCTTAATCTTTAGTCACTTAAAGATAAAGAGATTAATTTCAAATTCTGACCCAGCAGGGTTTTCATTACAGATTCAAGAAATGCAGATAAAAAGGGTTTTACTGACCCTAGCAGTGAGTAGGTGCTTAATACATGTCTGTCTGGTTACCTCAGTGACTCAGCCTTCATTGCCCGCCACGCCCTACGTGACACAATCTACTCCCACCACCTTCCTCCACCTCCAGGTAAGGGGAGCCGTTGCTGTGTTCTTTTTCACAGAGGTGGAAATGAGGGGGCAGCTGGGCCCTGAGCCACAAGCTCATGTCCTCCCAGTGACGCTGGCTCCACAGCCCCTTCCCAACACCTGTGATCGGAGGCCCCACGTGGCCACTGGGGTGATGAGACCAGGGATCAAGGATCGAGTCCTTGCTAAAATGTCTGCCACCAACTAGCAGTAATAAATGCTAGCTCCTCTTTCCTTGTTCTTTTTCTAAACCTAACTCCCCTGACATGACTAGATTCCCAGGTCCAGCAGAATAAATGATTCTGTCTCTCATCAGGCCTTTTCCACTACTGCCGCTGAGGCTCTGCATTCACTGTTCTTGTGGAGAATCTCCTCTTTCTAGGCACATTCTGGGGCTCCTTCACAGTCTGCCAGTGCCGTCTCTCTCTGAGACGTCCCCCTGACCACAGCAGGCCATATCGGCTCTCTTTCGTTTTGGCCGCACTCTCCGTGCCTCGTAAAATACTCCCATACTTTTAGGACCCAACACGCTACATACTTTTGCACTTCCTAACTGCATTCCCTGACAACCATATCACTTTCCCTTCCCCCTGCCCACCACCACATACAAAGCACTTTCAAATCCATCGTCTCATTTATCTTGCAAAAGCCTTCGGAGTCAGGATAGCAAAAAGCTCATGATCATTTCAGAGATGAGCCAACTGAAGCTTGGAGTATTTGCTGATCGGCCCTATCACCAGCACGAGGAAGAACAAAGACTCAGAACACAGGCCTTCTGGCTCACGTAACAATTTATAAAGTACTATCCCACTAACCATTTCTTGTGTTTGCCCTTCCCACCTATTCAAAGACTAGTACAACTGTTAAAAATATGGCTTTGGGGCCCCACAAACCTGGCTGCGTTCAACTGTTCAGCCAACCTGTGTTCAACTCCTGGCTCCACCATTAAGCAGTGGACCGACTCTGGGCAAACTGCTGACACCTTCAAGTCCTCAGCCTCCTCATGGATAGAGCAAGGATGAGTCACAGAATAAGGAGTAAGTAAAATAATGCACAAGAAGATATCACTCTGAGCAGGCACAGAGCAGAGGCCTGTGAAGCACCAGCTATTACAATCCTTGTCTCTACTGTCATTATGACTGCTACCAACATTTTCATGATGATTATCGCCACCACTATTCCACCACACAGGAACTGTGTTTTCCACTGGCTTTTTCCTGTGTTAGCACGCTAAGAACATGGTTCAGATGCTGATATATTTTTTGAGTGATGTCTTTATAAGGTATATGGGAAATACAAAAGCAGAGGACACAGAGCTGGCCCCATGGTGTAGTGGTTAAGTGCGTGCGCTGCGCTGCTGGCGGCCCGGGTTTGGATCCCAGTGCGCACCGACGCACCGCTTGTCAGGCCATGCTGTGGCGGCGTCCCACATAAAGTGGAGGAAGATGGGCACGGATGTTAGCTCAGGGCCAGTCTTCCTCAGCAAAAAGAGGAGGATGGGCATGGATGTTAGCTCAGGGCTGATCTTCCTCACAAAAAAAAAAGTGGAGGACACAAAGGTTGGACAAATACTCCCTTGAAGAGAGTTTCCTGCTGAAGAGTGGAAACAAAACTTCTTGATTTAGTGCCTTCCTCCACCTTGAACCCTGTTCTCCGTGTAGCTCATCTCATCTTGGTGACACTTTATTCTCTCTCCTTCCAATAATGACATTATCAGGGGGGAAAGGACCACAGACGACTGAGGAACAGGGTACCTGTTCCGTCAGGAAGGAAGGCTTGTAGGCGCCGTCTGTGGACTTGTTCCCTGTGCCCCTCATGGACTTCATGTGTGACACGGCCATGCGGAGGATGGTGAGCTTGTCCGGCTTCCGGGCCAGCGCGCTGCAGGTGGGGACCATGTCAGAGAGCTCCGTGATGTACTGCGTCATCTTGTTCCGCCGGCGCCGCTCTATCTCGCTGTGGTTCTCTCTTCCGGAAAGCACAAGATCAGGAGTGAGAGCAAGACAAGGATCAGACTGGGGGTTACTACCCAGCAGGATAAGACCGCATGTCGTTCACACCAAGTGACTGAGAAACAGGCGCAAAAGAACAAAGGGCTCCTTCTGGGTCAGCGGTTGGCAAACATTTTTTGCTGGGAATCCTGAGAAGCTTTCGTCTCTGTGTGTGGGGAGCACAGGCTTCTATGGATGCCTCAGTCTCATCTCTAAACATGTCCTGAAATCTTCTAACTGTCCCCATGAACCTAAGCACTTTTCAATAAGCATGAAGAATTATGACATTATCCTTCAGCTGTCGAAAGTTAACCCAACACACTTCCTGAGTACACCTATGAATCGGTACACAGTGGGTGCACGTGCACACACACACACACACACACACACACACACACACGCACAATGAATGCAGTTACTGTCTGTTGAATGTGGTTTACTCTGAAACTATAGTAAGAAGCACTGTATAGCTGCCATCTTCGTGTCACTAAGTCGACAGCAACGCCACAGATTTGCTCTCCATAAAGCTGTTAACAAGTCTTTGTTCTACACCCAACACATTTTCTACAGCACAGGAACAGAACAGGTGCACCTCTGCCTTAAACAACAAACACCAACTTAAAAAAAGCACTGGGAGGAATTACTGAGGTTAATCTCTGTGATGTGCTAAGATGAAAGGCTAGCAGAAGGGACAGAAGAATGTTTCCACCCTGGGATTATTACCTTTAGGCTTGAAAGAGAGTGACAGCAGACTCAGTTCAGCGACTCTAAGTCAAAGCTGTTACTTGGGATAAAATTGTCTAAAAATAGACCACATGTCTGTTGTAGGATTTACGGTTTCTCTGGTGTTCAAAGTATGAGAATGACACTAACAGCAGGAAAGGAATAATCTCAGGCAAGGCTGCCCCCCCCACCCCCGCAGGGATTAATCAGGCTGCCATCCCACCGGCCTAGGCTGGGGATAGACTGACCATCAGGACTAATCATGTGGAAGTCGTGTGTGAAGACGCACGCTGTGGGGAAGCTCACTGCGGGCAGCAGACCTGGGCGGCCCAGCGAGCACCTTCTGTGCTAAGAGCACTGAGCCAGGCTCCATGAGGGGAGGGGACAGAGGAAACAAGGAGTGTCTGCTCCAGTGCCCAAGCATGGGGGGTGGAAGAGAAAATATTACTTTGCATAGTGGAAATGAAGGCAGAATGTGACTAAATACCCCAAAAGGAAAGTAAAAACCACAGGAGAGAGCAAGAGAGGAGGAAGAGGTAGTCCTGAGGGGAGAAGGGCTGGAAAGGGCAGGGGAAGGAGCTTGGGAGGGAGCTAGTCCAGTCTGCAGCAGGTAGGGAGGTGTGCTCTGGGAGGAGGGTCAGCCGGATCAAAGAAAGGCCTGGAATTAGGATGAGGAGCCTGAGAAGTGGGGAAACAGGTGACAGATCAGAGAGAAAGCTGCTGTGGAGGGCAGGCTGAGCATAGGGTCTGGATCTTTCACGCCCCTGAGGCTGGCTTCTGGGGAGAGGTTCCGAGGCGGGTGAGTCTTGTTGGGAGGGAGGGGAAGAGAGAGGTTGAGGCCAGTGAGGGGATTTCTGGGGCAAGGTGCTCTCCTCCCACCCCACAGTGAGAGCCCTTTGGAGCTGACTAACGGACAGTGGAAACATCCAGAGGCAGCACAAGTGGTCTTGCTCCAGGGGCCAAGACATGCCTGGGCAGGGAAGGAGGCACATGGTATAGGAGTAATGGCTCTCCTGGGCAGGGCTTGTTTACCATGGGGAGAAAAAAGGTACAAGAGAAGAAGGGGTGGGGGCAGCCACAGAGAGAGAGGGGAAGTGAGGGACGGGGGCATTTAGTTAGGGGATTCCTGCGTGCTCCAGCGAAGGCAGGAATCCTGCCCTGGAAGACACACAGGAGTTCCTCTGCTCTCTCTCCACGATTCCAAAGTGGGAACAGAAGGAGGGGCAGCCCACCCAGAATCAGGTCTTCATCAATATCCCCTCGACCTGTGCCCTCTGCTATGAACCTGCCACGGGAGGCTGTGGAGGTGCTGGCCCATGGGCCCATAGAGAAGGCCTGGGTGAGCTTGCCCGGGTGCATTCTCCCCACCTTGCCAGCTCGCACCTCATCGAGGCAGACAGTAGGGAGACAGTGTGCAGAGAACCCTGCCTGGCGCTGTGATAGGGAGTAGGATGTCAGCAGGAGCTCTGGCCACTCACGGACGGTATATCCACAATGCCAGATGTGGCGTGTCCACTCTACACACCTGCACACTCCTGCCAGGGGACCCTGGACATGCTTCCTCCCATCTCTGCTCAAAGCAACTCCCAAAGGTCCAACTCATTCATGGCCCCTAGAGTCTAAATTCTAGCTCCTCGGCCTGACTTTTAGGATCGCCCGAGTCAGAACCCACTTTCCCTACTCTATTCCAAGAGACACTCAGCTACTCGATGCCTCTTGGTATCACAAGAATGTGTTGTCCACTCCCACTTATCTTCAATTCAGCACACGCTCAATTGCTTCTTCCCCTCAAATGTTGGTCTATGTCAAATCTCTTGTGAATCTCCCTGCTTTTCCTCCACCTTCTCCACGCCCACTGCCCACTGCGGCTGGCGCCACTTTTCAGCTGGTCACCAACAGCCTCTCCAGTGGCCTTTCTTCCAGTCTCATCCCCTTCCAGTTGGGTCCGCATGCTGTGGCCAGACTGCTATTTCCAAAAATGCAAACCGGCCCTTTCCTTAAGTCCCTTCAGGGGTGCCCCCAACCTGCAGAGCCAAGTCCAACCTCTCGGCTGGTTACCATGGTGACTGCTCCATGCAGGACCAGAGCACACTTGCTTTTGATGCTGTTTTCCAAAAGAGCTTGTGCCCTATTGTCACAGACCATCTCGCTGTGTAAACATATTGGGAGGAAACAGTCTTTGTGAAGTCCTTAAACAGAGATCTAAAGCAATTTTATCACCATGCTTGATAAACCCAATTCGTGAGATAAGGTGCGTGAAGAAGACATTAAGGCAACTGTTTAAAAACTGACTGTTTTCGGGGCTGGCCCAGTGGCGCAGCGGTTAAGTGCGTGTGCTCCGCTGCGGCGGCCTGGGGTTCGCAGGTTCGGATCCCAGACGCGCACCGACGCACCGCTTGTTAAGCCATGCTGTGGCGGCGTCCCGTATAAAGTAGAGGAAGATGGGCACAGATGTTAGCCCAGGGCCAATCTTCCTCAAGAAAAAAGGGGAGGATTGGCGTCGGATGTTAGCTCAGGGCTAGTCCAACTCACAAAAAATAAATAAAAACTGACTGTTTTCACTGACTAGTCCAGAAAACGCTCCAGCCATTTCATGAACTAAGACTGAAAGAGCTACCAGCAGAATGTCAAAATCACTGAGAGCTGCCAGTTACCCAGTAATAAGATTTGATAAATAAGTGAGCATAGCTAATGAATCCATTCAAAAAATATATATATGTATACACACATATATGAATGTATAGTTTCATTTTAAAGGCTTCATGGAGGCGAGGGAGAGGTAAAAATGCCACCCTGTGAAACACAAGGACATCTCCAGGACCACACTTGCTGGGCCAAAGCCATGTCCTCCACAGGGTGAGGGGTGATTTGGGGTCTGCTCGGAGGAGCTGCAGGGGCGAGCCTGTGAACTTGGCGTCTGAGTTGTGTGAGCCCCACATGCTTACTGGGGGCTGAGTAACATCACTAAAGAAATGAGCCCTATATATATGGACACAGGTGCTCTGCAGCAAGGACAGCTGGGGTGCAGGCAGAGCTGTCAGCTTCAGAGACACCTCTGCTGGGCCAGGAAGACGCAGAGCTTAGCCCCAGGGACAGGACTGTGGAAATCAAGAGCAAGAAAGAAGAGGCACAACTTCATGCTGACTTGGGTTTCTTTTCCAACTCTGCTCCAAAGTGGAACCTGCTAAATTTAATCAGAGCAGTGAGGTCCAAGTCCATCTTGATTGAAACACACAAAAGGAGAGTTTTGCAAAATCTCAATAAAGATCATCCTTAAACTCTGAGGACGGCAGTTGTGTCTCCCATCTCCCACGGGAAGGGAACCACAGACCTGGCAAGGGGCAGACTGAAGGAGACAGCTCCACGCTAGGGCTGGGGTCTCCCTGTCACTGCAGACCCTAGACGCCTGGGGTGCACTGCAGGGTCTGGGTTCTGGGACGAGTGCCAGGCGGGACAGACTGCTCACAGACCAGCAGGGGCAACAGAGAGCCAGCAGGCAAGGACACATCCCTGTCCTCCACAAGGTAAGGAGCAGATGCTGTGAGAGCGTGACACAGAGACTTCTCTGAGGAAACCTGACAACAGGCCCAGCGAACTCTCCGGGAACCTGGGGGCCCCAAGACCTGACAAGCCCCCTGGGCAGGCCTGGCTGAGAGGAGGCACATGGTAAACCCAAGTCCCTTCCACTGCCTCTCTTTGCTCATGTCAATGTGACCAGCTGTGAGCACCTAGTGGGGCACGTGAACTGATGTAGAAAACCGTCAGAGATGCAGCCAGGTCCATCTCCAGCCTGGTCACCTACCAAACCTGAAAAGTCAGTGCTCGACATAGTCCTGCCTCACTGCCGGCTTAATAGTGGCATGGGTCACACAGGGACTGCTTGCAGAGCAGCCCTGCTACAGACGGGACCAGGGCCACATTCCTCTAGGACACCTCAGCTTCCACTGCTGCCTCCCAACACACACAGCACTCTCCAGACCACTGCTGTCTCAAGGGCAGACCTGCCGAAGAAAGCAGAACGCCTCTCCCCTCCGCCTGGATACGCACCGCCGAGCAGCCACCACCCTCAAAGCCACCAGGTTTTGCATATTTCTCCAGACTGCATCAGAACTGGAAGACTGGTCACAGGACTTTTTTCCTTTTCAGAACTCACACAGTGATAACGTCTGCTCTTGGGCAGTTCACCAAACTGGGCACGCCCTGAATTACCGAACAGATGGACAAGGCTTTCTGCCTGCAGTTCCTGATTCAGTA